ACACACACACACTCACACATACACACATACACACATACACACACACACACACTCACACATACACACATACACACATACACACACTTTGACCTCATCTGCTGCCCTCAGAAGCACCAACAAACGTCCTCCATGCCCAGCACCCCCTCTCCCCAAATCCTCTCACCACTCCACTGTCTTTCAGGAGCTCACCCCTCTTGTCTACCTCTCTCAATTGTTGCCACACCAAAGGTGACGATTTACGATCCCACACTCCATTATTCTCCCAATCGGAGAGAGACGGCTGCTTCAGTTTTACGACCTCCCTGTCTCACCTAAACACAAAGCTTGCCTCCGCACAGCACTCCCTATAGAGGGAACTTTTGATATCGTCAGTTCAGTTCTTGACACCTCTCCTCTGTACAGCAAAATCGCGTCTCCGACCATTTGTGCCCTTTTCTTGTGGTTATCAGCCTCTTACTATAATATGAACAGCTTTCATTTTTAAACTTCATGATACGGGTGGTTGGAGGGTGCTACCTGAAGGTCCTACTTCTTTTCTCTCCCTCTTTTATTTCTGTGTGCCTGTCTTACTATTTCTCCCTCGATAAACTACTGTAGGTGAGTCTACGTGCTTCTCTTTACTCACACTACAACCTGTCGATTTGTTTTCCAGACAATAAACTTCATTATTCGAATTCACACAGCAAGAGGAACCTAACGTTAGATATCTATTTGTTTTTCTTTTGTTGGGGGGTAACAATAAGTTCAAGGAGGAAAATTCTGGACGAGGAACGCTGAAAATTCCTTTGGGTTCAGATTTTGTCTGATAACTTTGTGCGTCCTGCATAAGTATGCGACAGACACAATGGACAATGCTCACAGGTGCTATATCTATTCTAACGGTTGGAGGGATCAGGGCATCAATATGTCAGAGAGAGAGAGAGAGAGAGAGAGAGAGAGAGAGAGAGAGAGAGAGAGAGAGAGAGAGAGAGAGGGGGGGGTATATTTTTTTGCTCGTTATAAAGTCAACTTAAACCATTAATTTTCATAATGGATTTGCGTTTACTGCCAGTGTCCGATCTTGAAGAACGTTGTTAGAAAGAATGAAAATACAAAGCAACTCATTCAGCTAATAAAAGGTCATCTAAGTACACTCTCTGGATACAACTTTGGCATAGAGGAATTGGAACTACGCTAACAACGCCATAGAGACGCACGCAAACTAAAAATCACGACTTTCAACTAGGCAAACTTTGGCAGCTTTCAGAAGATTGTCGTAGATACGAGCGGCCGTTTTGCCCCTTTAATGCTTCGTTAAATACCCCCCAACGGAGAGCACTGCAACGAATTTGGCTGTTTTTTCACGCCCAAGAAATTTTTTATAGCGTGGAAAGGTGAAAACAATCTGGCGACTCTGTTCTGGCAAATAACAGGTCCGCCACGAGGGCGATAACTCTGAGCAATCAAATAACTCCTGCAGCCAATTAAGCAGGTGGTGGTAATTACAAGCCGAGCTGAACAGAAAAAAAGGTGTGTGTGGCTCAGGGGGTTGTGGGGGGGGGGGAGACAATCTACTCGCGCGACCAGCCAATTGTTGCCTGTCACGGCATCTTATTTGGTCCCGGTACTGTGGGCGTCAGATTTAAATTCCGTCAAATGGTACGAACGCACGCTTTGGACAGATTAACCATGAAATTCCAACGCAGAGTTAGGAGAAGGAAAGAAAGATCAATGCGTCTTCAGAAATGCCCAAGGCTTCCCTTTTGGGTTCATTATCATTATAATGTATAGAAGTGAGTCATAGGAACGAAAACCAAGACAAGGGGTTTCAACACTTGCTTGCTGTTTGTTTACTTGTGTAAAGGACCGACATCACTGCACTAGGGGCATCTCCATAAGCGCTCCGTCCCATGAAGAAGCAGATCTCGAAGTGTGTAGATGCTGACAGTTCCAAGCAAGGGTTGATTCCATAGCCTTCTGCTCCTCCCACTAAGTCTTGAACTTCTGCAGGCGCCCCATCCAATTCCAAGTTCACGAAGTCGCCCAAGATGATGGTATTCCGACTCTTCTTGTTCTTTTTCTCGTTTTTTCCTGACTGATCGTACAATTTCAGGTTAGTCAGGGCACAGCATCCCTTCAGGTCTTGCTTTCCCAGCGAGCTTATCAGCCCGCTCATTGCCCTTGACTCCAGCATGGCCGGGGTGAAGGTCCACGTGATCTTTTTCAGTGTTGTCTTCTTCAGGAGCTCTGTCCATTCAGCTCTAAGGTTCAACAGTGTCTAAAGTATACATCTCTATGGATCAGAAATACGAAAACGTACAAAACAATCCTTTTAAAAGATACAGGCATTTATCAGCATCTGCTTAAGAAAAATACTTTAAAAATCATTGTCTTTACACAATAAAAAATGAACAGATTTGGGAGCAAACAAATCAACAGGAAATAGATATAGAAATCAAAACGAGTAAAGAGAAGTGGATTGAACACACCGTGAGAAAATCGGAAACAAACTGTACCTTAAGATGGAGTCAACAAGGAAAGAAAAGGAAAGAAAGGTATA